AAAATGTATGAATTAAGTTGAGATGCGCTCTAGTATTGAACACAACCCTCCTTTTTATACGTTTAGTTACTAATTATAGAAATAACATAAAAATAATTTCTAAATGGAAGTCAACTGATAATCTGAGAGATAAAAGAAAAACTAAAGAATATAATTCTTGAGAGTGAATGCATTTGTGGTGACCCCCACTTCGACCCCTTTTTCATTTCATATAAAAAGTGAATGCAAGGGAAGGGATGGATAGAAGGCTTTCAATGTGGGCCGTCACTCAAGACGTCTCCTCTGCAGCCCTCGCCAACATCAAGGAGTCGAGTCAACAGGGAAGCAGTCTTCACGTCAAAAATGGATTTCTCTCTCAGCATACGGTAGCGTCACTAATGCCTGTCCACTCAATCCATTAGTTATCACTTATTAACCATTTTATTACAATTTATTATTTTTTATTAAGGGAAGCAGTCTTCACGTCAAAAATGGATTTCTCTCTCAGCATACGGTAGCGTCACTAATGCCTGTCCACTCAATCCATTAGTTATCACTTATTAACCATTTTATTACAATTTATTATTTTTTATTACAAACAATTATCTAAACATTATTCTCACATTTATTTTTATTGGTTCAGATTTAGATACCTTAATAATTATTTTAAATTGAATTTAAAAATTAAATTAAATGTTGTAGTGAATACTTGTAGAGTATATTAAAATTTGAAATTAATAAATATATTCTATAAAAGTAGTAAATCAATATAACTCTTTTAATAATAGGATTACGAGTTTTATCACATAAAAACATAAACGCAAAGTAAACTCAGAATTTTTTGAGTTTATGCAATGAAGTCCTATATATTATACAGTGTATTATTGTATAACTTATATAAAATTTTCATTATAACACTAAAGGACTAATCTTAGATTTGAGCATTTAAGAATGTAAAATACATTGAATAACAAATGTGAAATATTTTTCTAAATTTGGTTTCAAAAATAATATAGACTCTAGATAAACTTCCGGACAAAATATTACTGAAGATATTCACTTATTTGCCGCACCGGGAAGTGTCACGTTTAGCACGAGTTTGCAAGAAATGGCGAATGATTTCATGCGATTCCAAGCTATGGACGCACGTCTCTCTCAGACCCGATGTGTCGGGACTTCATGTAACGAGTATGGAGTCACTCCTCGCCCTCATATCCATAAGATTTGGTTAGCTCTCCAATAATAGATTGTCTCTTAATATGTGTAAAATTGTCATATTTCATGATTAGGTCCATCACTGCGTTATATAGAGCTACCCATTGAGTTGATAACACATACAGTACTCCACGAGTTGGCCAATAAATGTCCAAATCTAACGAATATGTTATTGGACTTCTCAACGGCTATGCAATTGCATGATTTCAATGATTTGCATTCATTTCCCACTAAATTGCGAACGATGTGTATCTGTTTGTCTGAAGTTATTTTTATGGAGGGATTTATGAGGAAGATCTATAATTTCATCAATGGTTTAGAAGTCTTGCATTTAGTGGGAACTTATGAGAAGGCAGTGGAGGAAGAGGAGGAAGAGATCTATGAAGTGGTTAACATCCATAAGCTTAAGAGTGCTGTTCCCAACCTACGAGTGGTTAACTTATTTGGCATTAATTTTGTAGACGACAGTCATGTAGACTCTCTAAGCAGTAATTGCATACAACTCGAGTGTTTAGCACTTAATTTTTGTACGAAATTCACTGGAAGTACATTAAAGCTATTGTTTCATCGCTGCAAAAGACTTCGATGTCTTCTTATGCAACACACGAGTAATTCATTTCACATGTTTTATCNTGCCGACACTAAAGCTTAATAAAAGTGACAGATCTTCATCTAAATATAAATGAATAATTGCATTGAAAATTGTAGAAAATTTGATAATTATAAAGTGAAAGACAATTACAAAATGTTTATTTCTATATTTAGTAATGAATAAGAAATGAGAATAAACTTACTTTTAAAATAAGAGTCATTAAACTTGAAGACAATCATCGGTAATATACCGGTCAGACCGATGAGACACGAACACGATATACACAACACCCATAATTGATAGGAATTTATAAAATAATATATTATATCTAACATGTTATTTTAATAAACTTTTTAAATATATTATTAAATTATATCTAATAAAATTGATTTAATATTTTAAAAACCATATTCAAAGAATAAATAATTTTATAGATCTACGGTATTTAATATTTCTGATTTTACTATTTAAACTATTATTTTATATACAGTATTATATTATTAAATCACATTTAATAATCACATGTTTTTATTTTTGTCGTTATTATTAACATTATATTGAATATATTAATTTTTGCAAAATCATTTAAAGTAGATTATTATATTTACTAAATTCATGAATTTAAGTTTTATTTTCGCACACTTTTTAAATAATTTTTATACCATTTCTTGATTCACTGAAATCATATAACATATAGTTTTTAAATTTAAAAAACACAAATTAGAGTACAACTTTTTTATTTATTTGCTTTGATGTAGGCGTCAAAACTCAAAACTGTTTACAAATTTGGTTTTATGACAACGGTTCATGTATTCACCACAAATTCATAATTACTTTTTGATACAATATTTTATCGCACATTTTAAGAGAGCTTGCCGTTAAATACAGTACAATACTAGAATATACACTAATCTAAAGTTACCAATTATCAATTGATAACAATAAATATATCTAAAGTATTTAAAAATATTTATATAAAAGTTTAATTCGGGTATATATTTATATAAGTTTTATAAGAAATTTTTAATGAAAATAATATTGCTTAAGTTATATTAAATTAAATTAAATAATATTAAATTAAAAATGAATTCATGTACTGTAGTACGTGACTCTAAACTCGTGTCCGTTACTGTAATACAAAATTCCTGATCTGTTGCCTCTATTTTTAGATCAATTGAGTAAACATTAGACATACGGACTAAACTCTAATATATATTTTTAAAATTTTATAACCATGCATAAAATTAGAATGTATTTTATATTTTAAGATGTAATTATAAATAAATGGTGAATTATAATTATCATTTAGGTAATTAGTTTATATTTTAAAAATACTATACAGTATATTCTTAATGTATATTCTATTTGTTAATATTTTACCCATTTATGTAAATTAATATCTTAATAAATATATTAAAATTAAAAATAATTGAATAGACAATAAACAGGGAAAATGAGTTATTAGATGAAGTGTTCAAAATGTATGAATTAAGTTGAGATGCGCTCTAGTATTGAACACAACCCTCCTTTTTATACGTTTAGTTACTAATTATAGAAATAACATAAAAATAATTTCTAAATGGAAGTCAACTGATAATCTGAG